TGAGACATCTGGCCACGTGCCTACTTCAAGCAACAAGACATGCAGCATGGCGTGGATCTTGTGCACGAGCTGTGCTCGCCCACTGCCGAGTGCAGCAGGTGGATGGATATGCACATCAAGCGCTGGCTGCGAGGGTCGACCCCATACAGACGAACATGTGTCCAACAAGGTTTGCAAAACCACACGCTCTTTCTCCACACACTCCAGGTCGCCCTGAAGCTGCTGCATATCATGGCCGCTTCCAGCCTCCTCCCAGGCTCGTCCTAATTTGGCTGCCTTCTGAACAGTTCGGGCTAGACCCCAAGTCGCTCGGCACCACTGCCCAACATCAGCTGGAGCCAGGGTGTGCGTTTCTGTGAGGAGCCAGTCGAAGCCTCGCTGCGGGCTGCTGTCTGTGAGCAAGCAACGCACTGCAACATCAGTGGAGGCTGAAAAAAGCTTTCTCATAAAGAACATAAAGCCAACTTCCACAGCTAACCGCCATCGGCTGACGGATGAGGCCGAGGGGGCTCGAAGCAGCCCCTTGTCAATGGCTTGCACAAGTTCCTGTTCTTGTTCAGGCAAGATCATGCGAATGGAAAGCCGAAGCTGCTTTTCTAAATCACCGGAGTCCCGAAGAAGCGTGCAAGATTGCACCGCGGTGACTATCATCTTCACAGAGTATCTGCGATCGCAACGTGTGCTCATCTGCGCGAATGCCAACGAATCAGAGGCCAGTGATCTGTGCAAGTTGTCGATTTCTAGAATTTGCATGTCAAGCTGCAGAGCGATACCTGGATCAGCACCGTCTTGCTGCAAATGACGTCGATAATTCGCAAGCGATTGTCGAGCACCAATCAAAGAGTGCAAAGATGATGCTTGGTCAGATGCCCGTCGCAAGGCAAGGCCCCTAATCACAAGAAGCTCTTCGGATGCATACAGTTTGCGGAAATCCTGCGACCGAAACTCACCTTTCGAGGAACAGCACTACATAGCTTCATGGGCTTAAGGTTCACCTGAGAATTTAGGGCTTCTTTGGGCTGACTGCTTGCAACAGCTTTGGTTCCGTTGCACGATTGCTTAGTAAAATAAATCTAATGACAGTTTTCTCAAAGCATGAGCTCAATGTTTGGGTTTGGGGTTTAGGGTGAACAGAACTGAAACGAATAAAGCCCCACAAATCGAAAGATTCAATCCTGCACAAACGAACAGTGAACCCCGCCCGCCTTTGGGAAAACGAAGGAGCCGGGGTGTGCAACGGGCCATATCAGCAAGCACGGCCCATTTCTGGCGAACCAACAAATGCACTATGGGCCCAAGAGAACTGAATACAACAAAGGTCTTCGGGATGTTGCGCACACCCCATTGCTGCATGCATTCCTCAAAGCTTCTCCCACGGCTGCAACCGGAGGCTTTCAGCACGGATAGTTGCGACTCTGGCAGATGCACAACCCATGACGTGCGCTGCTCGGCCACTCTCAGACTGCTGCAATAGGCTCGAAAATCCAGAGATTCTTCAAAGCAAGTGCTGTCGACGACGTCGAAAAAGAGCATCTGTGGATGAGCCTCGTGCGGCAACGGTCTGCCCCACGCATGCCAAAGCAGGAAATCTTCGCGAGAAGCAAGATTGCCCATGTTCCGCAACCCCCTGGGCAATCGCAGAATCGCAGCTCCAACAACACGGGGGCCAAGCTCTGTCCAGAGGCCAGTCCTCTTCCAGCATTCAAGAGCATCTCGCACGGGTTCTTTGAATCTGCATGAGTCACATTGCTCCGCGATGTACTGTACTTCCGAACGCCTGAGCTGAAAGTCTGAAGCTTTAAACACACGGCTCTGCTCTGCCTGCCCGGCGGCAGTTGTCCTGACTTGCTGATGTCGTGGTTTCTGAAGCTTCTGCGCAGCAAACGGCGTGCTCACAAGAACCACCACGCACTCAGCGGCCATAACCCAGAGCACTCAGTGCACTCCCTGGTGTCCATGGATGAAAAAATTCGGTATTCGGACTTCGGGGCTAGGGGAGTGTTGATGACGGCAAGGCTTTAGCA